GAAGGTATGTGACTGGGCGCTATAGTCGTTCAAAGGTTCCCAAATGTAAATATGTCATCATTTGTCTATCTAGCAACAGTACATGTTAATTCTCCGGTCTAAGAGGTTTATCCATATTTACCGCTCCCGTACTCATATATGGTGACTATTCCAGACGCAGAGCAGTTGACTGCAAAACAGTTATTTTCAGTCTCAAAGAAACTACTTCAAGGAAAGAAATCAAGTAGTTGATTATAGTGATACTTGTTCAGCAATAAAATTACCGCCAAGAAGGCATTTTCAATTTCCAAAACAGCACCCTCCAATTCTTGGTGTGCAACCACGTGACCAAGAATCCCCTGAGAAATAAACAACAAAGCTATCGCTGCCATGTTGGATGAATGAACAAGAGAAACTACTGAGGAATGCTTTGTGATTTTCATCCAATATGGCGGCGATGACGTAACTTGCACGCCAAGAATATGGTGGACWTGTGCACAAACAATCGAACTTGGTTTATCTTACAATATCTCCATTCACTGAGCATAAAGGGATAATAAAGASGCAGTTAGTGCCTTATATTTTCATCGATTTTTAATTTCAAACATAAACAAAAGCTCAAGGGATGCCAGTTGACCACAATCCCGTATGCGATTTTATCACATCTTCGTTGATTTTGCATCGGTTTGAAGATGGGGGGGATTGGACTCTGCTGTTAAGGTAGGGGTTAAATTCTGAATATAGTAGGGATGGATATGTGCTGTGAGTTGCCATATTTTACATATATATTAACTTCATAACACGAATTAATCCTGCACCATGTCCAACCCAGTTTAACATTACTGTACTCGTTAGGGATACTGTACATGATTTACGGTGCTCTTCCCACATCGTCCAAAATATTTCTGAAAAACTTCCCTCGTTCARTACCAAACTGTTGTATTGATTCAGAGGTTTCTTCAGTTGATGACCTTAAACACGATGAGTGGGCAAAATGCCGTTGAAAGCCGTTCCATSTATTTCCATGCTTTCTCGAGTTAACTTTGCTCTTTCGACTGAATACATAGAGGCGAAGATAAAATTTTTAGGACGAAATAAAATGGCTCTAAATTTGCATTGGTATGTCCAGGAACAAAAGAGAAATGATCTATTTTGAGGTTGACTGCCCTTAATCCATGAATGTTACCAACATCTAAGTCTGCAACTTATAGTATATGGTGTTCGAGTGTTCGCCCTTAAACCGTGCAACTGTAAAAACTAAATAGTGCCATTTAGTAAATC